TCTCTCTCTCTCTCTCTCTCTCTCTCTCTCGCTGTGTGTGTCTGTAGCTGTTGTATCCTTTCATCCAGTCTATTTGAATCAAGATATTGGTATTACATAGACACGTGTGATGGAGTAATATCTTGATACACTGTTGTCTCTACTGCGTTACATATCAATCTTGCTGCTTCTAGTGCCATGCCTTGAAGATTATTTCTGCCATGTCCTATCATCTCTGTAATGCTGAATTTATTAGGGATGAAAATTCGGCATCACTATAGTCTTTGACATAAGTGAGCATTCAATTGTATGGAAATACTCATCTTATCATTCCAGAGCAAAACAACTTGTTTTCAGTGTATCATGTGGTTGTGCTTGTTTTTATAACAATAATAAGTGCCGGTGACAGCTTGCAGGTTTCAAGATGGAAGTGGTCAAAACTACACATGCTGGTCATGCAAAATCTCTTGTATCAACAATAGATTTCAGTACCTGTCCAGATGGTATATATATCTTTACATCTTACCTGAAGTGTTCTACATAACTATTTTGATCATCTGATTCATGTTTGTGCCTGTCTTCTAGGAATTGTATGTGTGGGTGGCGATGGGATTGTTAATGAGGTTAGTCTATGTTAATTTCATGCATGATTTTTTTATGTTTCCTCATCTTATTTTTAATGTGTTTGGTATACCAACTAGAGAAGGTAATCTTTTATGACAACATTACCAATTACAGTTTCTTAAATTGCCTTAGCTTTTCTGAAGTTTTGATCTGTTATATCAAGAACAAATAGGATATACCTATATAAACTGCTGAAAATTGCTTGAAGTTTCGCAACTTTGTTCTGAAACCAACCTTCTACTTCCTCAGCCTGAACTGTTTCAGGGGGAAACTACTAAGTTCAAGAAGCTTCTCCCAGGGATCAGCAGATTTGTATATTGTAATATTTTACTTTGTTATTCACAATTTTGGAGTTCATTAAACAACTGGTTGTCGAACCCACAAAACCTTCAAATCATTTTCAGTGACGCTGCTAACCTAGAATGGTTATCACATGAGGGCTGTTAATGCTTACTTCTCAAAACCTATGTACTTCTATGAACACTAGACCATGTTTGTCTTCCACTTTCTGAAGCCATCCTCTCCTTGCATGTCACTATAAAATGCTCATTTGTCAACTACAGGTTCTGATGCATTAATAAATTCATTTTGTAGGTTCTCAATGGTCTCCTTTGTAGAGATGATCAAAATGTGGCTGTATCTGTTCCAATTGGTATAATACCAGCAGGGTCCGATAACTCACTTGTTTGGACAGTATTGGGTGTTAAAGATCCGATTTCTGCAGCAATGTCAATTGTCAGGGTAAACATCATTATATTGTTTCAGTATTTATGGTTTTCTATATACGTGTCACATGATTTATTGATTCAGTACTAGGCATCAAAGAAATTAAATGTTATTGATGATGCTGGATATGATACCAGCTCTTGAGTTACTAGCTATCATGACTCTTTACTCTTTGTTGCCAACCATGTGTTCACACTGCTTTGCTCTAGTTGGACCCTGGGGATGTGGAATTGTTGGCCAGGCCTGTACTGACATTTCTAGATCTGCTTATTGTACTCCATTAACTAGCCATCCTAGTATGCCACAGTAGTAAGCTAGCTCAACTTATGTCAAAGGGGGCTTCTGTCACCAGGTGCAGTCGAGCAGTTCTGAAAGTACACAGAAGTCATGCTGATTTTTTTTTCTTAGAGAATCCATCATTTGAAACCATTGTTCTGGCAAGAATTAGTTTGAACACTGAAGGTAGAATCGTGTATGAAAGTTTACATGCTGCTTTTCAAGAAAATGTAGCAGGGCACTGAAAGTCTGTGAAGCATACAAATTAGTCAAGAGTTCTGCTGTGTACTAGTTTAGCTGTCTAACGTAGACCGAGTTAATTATTGCCCTCACAATTTTGTGTCAGCATTTTTTTCTTTTTTGTTTCACATCAATGTTTGTTAAACTGTTCATTGCTTGCAGGGAGGTTTTACACCCATTGATGTTTTTGCCGTTGAATGGATTCAAAGTGGGACTATCCATTTTGGCACAACAGTCTCATATTTTGGTTTTGTTAGTGATGGTAACCACATAATTGACATTTCAGACCATTTTCTTTTCCTGTTGGATCAATATTAATTCTTTTTTGAAATGGAAGCAGAAAATCTGACTATTTGTTTCTATTGCAGTTCTTGAACTCTCAGAGAGATACCAGAAGCGTTTTGGTCCTCTCCGTTACTTTGTAGCCGGTTTTCTGAAATTCTTGTGCTTGCCAAAGTATAACTTTGAATTGGAGTATCTTCCAATATCAGATGGTGGTGGTGGTGAGCATAAAATTGTGGAAGGGCAAGATAAAGTTGATGCATCAGACCTCTATGATGATGTAGTTCGGAGGTCGCGAGTAGAATGTCTACCTCGTGCCTCAAGTTTATCTAGCATTGATTCAATCATGTCTACAGGAATAATGTCAGGTGGAGATCTAGAGGTTTCGAGTCCACATGCTAATAATGAACCCTCTGAACTTGTTCGTGCACTTGACCCAAAATCAAAGCGCCTATCATTAGGGAGAACAAGTACTTTCAAAGAACCAGAAGAAGTGATCCATCCTCAGGCTCATGTTTCATCGACTCCCAACTGGCGTAGATCCAAATCGAAATCAAGGACAGAAAAGGCATGGCCAGGCTCGGGTGCTACAAATGATGCAAATTCCTCTCGTGGTACCACAACACATGACAAAGAAGACGCCTCCTCCACAATTTCAGATCCTGGGCCTGTGTGGGATTCAGGACCCAAGTGGGATGATGAGCCTAAATGGGATAATCAACCTAACTGGGAACCAGAGACTCCCATTGACTTACCTGGTCCATTGGATGATATTGAACTTGGTCTGACTAAGGAACTAGTCCCAAGCTTAGATGAAAGATGGACAGTTAGGAAGGGGCGGTATCTTGGTGTACTGGTATGCAACCATTCATGCAAGACTGTGCAGAGTTTAAGCTCTCAGGTTATTGCTCCTAAGGCTGAATACGATGACAATTGCCTGGACCTACTGTTGGTTGGTGGAAGTGGGAGGCTGAGGTTACTGAAATTTTTGGTGCTTTTGCAGTTTGGAAAGCATATTTCTCTTCCCAATGTGGAATATCTGAAGGTAATACGATTGGTTCTCTTGGTCAAATATTAAGGTTTTCGTTCATTCTTAGAAACTGTTGTTTTAAAATCTTTTTGTGCATGTCATGTGATTATTGTATTTTTTATTTTCTTTTTTATTGCAAATCTCCTGGATTCACTGCACAACTTGGTTCAATTGTAGGTGTGTAATGAAAAAATTTACCTTTCACATGCCATTCACAATCTGTTCTGGAAATTGGAATCATAGATGAGAGAAAAAAAAGGGTAAACCTATAAAGTCGGGATTGGCATATATTACGTTAGAATTTTCTGGTTTTTATTGAACCTGTCATGATATTTTTATTGTTATCCAGAAGTTTTCATGTTAAAACTCTTTTCTTTAATTTACTTAGTTCACGGACATATTAACTTTTCCAGGTTAAGTCTGTGAGGCTCAAGGCTGGGCCCAACACACATGATGGATGTGGTATTGATGGTGAACTATTGCATGTCAAGGGGCAAGTTCGATGCAGTTTGCTGCCTCAGCAATGTCGATTAATCGGCAGGCCAGCCAAAAATCCTGTACAGTAGCTGTAAATACATGACTCCAAAGTCTGCACAGTTCTCAAGTTTGCCCGATATCCTGTTCATGTACAATCGGCAAAGGTGTGGATTATTTTTGTCCACGCCCACAGATTCATAGCTACAGTCAAGAGGTCAGAACAGCTTTGCTGGCACCTTGCTTCAGAGGTGTACATCGTGTGCTTGATCATAGCTAAAGTCAGAAGTCAGAACAGCCTTGCTGACACCCAACTTCAGAGGTGTGCATCGTGTGCTTGACGAGCAAAAGTGCCTGGTGAGGTGATGTCTATCCAAATGTAAAAGCCTATCCGGAGTCTGGACTGCAGCTTGTTGTGTAGTACATCTCGTGGTTTCTCCTTTTTACCTTGCTGATATCTAATACAACTACTATAGAGTAATCTCGAATCGGTGTACTTGCATTCGAAACAACACAGTGGCTGCCACCCCCAGTGTGCGCGGTTGTTTGGAGGTCCCTGTTTGTGTGGTTGTTTTGAGGTCCCTGATGCCGGCCACTTGATGTTCATCGCCCCCATTAAAGGGACAGCACCCCGAATGTGATGTCCTTGATCAGCTTGAGCCTTGTAGTGTTTACAAAGTGTGAATAAGACTTGTGTCCTGCGGTGTTTGTGTTCTCAGTACAGTATAGGATTTTTCAACAGGAAAAAAAAGATGGACAATCTGTAGTGCAGAACTGCTCATGTACCTTTCTATCCCCTCCCTTGTAACTTGTTCTTCGTGAATTGTGGTGATGTATGAGTTGTATTTGTACGTGTTGTCTGCCACATGAGCTAGATGATGATGATCATCTTGTGAAGATAGAGTTACTGATGTGTATTGTTGTCGTTTGGAGGATAAGCAATTTGGTGGTTGGGTGGGCTTTCTTTACTTGCCTGTTATATTCTCACAGGAATGCGCACATCTTGTAGTAGTACTACTCTCCGTTTCACAATATAAGTTATTCTAATATTTTCAATATTCATATTAATGTTAATAAATCTATTCATATTACTGAAACGGAGGAAGTATCTTGCTTTAGCAAGCGAATATTTGATACCGAGTCTCAGAGAGTGGATGGTGTGTGACAATGTTGGTCCCGAAGAACAGAATGGTGCTTACTTTATTTCGTCCTGGAGAATCATACACACCTTCGAATAGTTGATGCGTCCTAGAGAATTCCTGTCTCTAGAACATGGATTATGAAACTCTTGACCACAAACATTGTAACGGAAGTACACATGCTTCTGGCAACCAAAAGAACACTCCGGATCCGCAAGTACAATCCAGTGATTATTTTCTCCTGTTTGTTTAGATCCAACTGGTACTTGGTAGCACGAGCTTGTTGTAAAAAGGAGGCAAAAGACAGGTGCAAGAAAACAAAAGGCACCTGGCGATTTCATTTTTCAAAGCTCACGCCTTAGGCTTTTGTACAGAGAGGCAGCGCGGACAAAAGCAAACCTAATGTGCTACCAACTCATGCAAAACACGAAGATCAGGAAAAAACAGAGGAACAAAAAAGGGCGGGAAAACTAGCAAGGCAGCCAGCAACGGGACAGTAGCTAAGCGAGCATCTACAAACAGCAGCTTAGCGCTCATTAATTTATTCTCTCCTAATTACTGCTTCTACTACTTTGCTCAACCTGATTAGCATATCAGTTCAGTTCAGATCAGAGATCAGCTCAGCTCAGTTCAGCTGCTAGCACTTGCAGTGGCATCCCCGGCCGCGGCCGAAGCCGAGGGAGACGCACTCGCCGCCGCGCCGGCATCCGCCGTAGTGGCACACGTCCATGCACGCGCTGTTCGCCGCCGCGTCGCCCGGGTCGCACTGCTCCACCGGGATCGTCTCCCCGCACGGCACCCCCGACGGGTAGTCCACCCACGCCGCCCTCGCCCCTGTCGCCGCCGCCGCCACCATCGCCGCCGCTGCACCAAAACCAACAACAACAACACATCCCAGCCGCCGTGTCAGCCACAGTGACACACATCACACACACGTACGCATGCATGCAAGATACGATACACTTACCGGCGACGAGGACGATGAGCAAGCACGGAGGAGGCAGCTGCAGGGAGAGGCGGCTGCTGCACCTGCACGCGGCCATGGCCACCACTACCTTGATGTGTGTGTATGTTCCTGGACGCCTGGAGGTGACAGGGAAACTGACCGCAACTGACGGCTCTGCTTTGCCTTGCTCGTAGCAGCTAGGTTTGGTTGCTGCACATGTGCGCAATATATAGCTAAGCTAGCTCACGTACGAGTGGCAACATCACGAGAGTGGACTCTAAAACTTTCGAGCCAACTTCCCCTTATTATTTACATTATTATTTACATGTAATTTAAATAGTTATAAAAAATTAAATAAATAGATTAATATGTGATATATAACTCCATAAACATACAAGTTAAAATCTATAAATTATAGAAAATACATAAATTAAACTATGGTTAGTTAACATATATTTAGTTAAATTTATTTTTTTTCATTGCAACCTGTACAAGTTAAATTTTATCTTGCATATTTGTGGAGTAATTTATCATATATTAATCTATCTTATTATTTTTTTAATATTTTTTATAACTATTTAGATGATATATAAATAACGAGAGGATGTCATCTTTGAGAGTTTAGAATAGTTTTCCAACATCACAGAGCTGAAAGCGGCAGGCGGCAGGCGGCAGGCAACACGAAAGAGGATCGATGCAGGGGGCAACCGGCAACTGGGGAAGTACATGTGAGATGTGACGCCGATCGATACGGTTTAGTGTTGATCATGAGCTGATTGATCGATCAAACCGGGTAATAGTATACTTAATCCTAGTATCAACTTGCATCGATCACTAGCTAGCTAGCAGCTAGCTAGCCACTGATTGTATAGTTGTTGATTTGGACGCGCATATCTAGAGTTGCTTTTTGCAAGATAATGCAAGTCAGCGAGCAAAGAGCGGAGATTACAGCACAAACATAAATAGAATAAGAGGATTCTGTGAGTTGTTCTCCACCTTTTTTTTCTTTTCGTTAAGCTCTTGTGTGAATGGCTGGCGCATGCGACCTAATTAGTTCTCCTTTCATTAAGAAATACAAGGATATGATATGGATCTTTTGATGATAAATGGAGTATAATAGACTTGAAGGCAGATTCAGTGATGTTTCCCTACTATTTGGAGCTGGAGTTTAACATCTTAATTATTAAGGAAGTGTACCCCTCGCTCCAATGGCCCATCATACTTTACATTATAAAAAAGTATAAAAGTTCGACAACAGTGATTATAGATTTATAGTGGTATTTGAAGCTGAACAAACATGTAATCTAACACAATCCATATAAGTACCAGAAAGCATCGAAGAAATATACTCAAATACTCAATGGTATTTGCACCATTTTTATTTGTTGGTGTTATGGACATGAGGTACCCTACGCACCTTGAGCTCCATTACGATGTTCTCTACTACTAAGTAGAAAACAATATGAACTATTGATTTCATTTGATCGAAGGGTTCAAATCTATTTATACTACAATAGTAACTAGTGGTAGTAAAAAACGCGGAGGGGCATTATTATAAAAAAAAAGGTGCGGAGGGGTATAATCATCATTTATCAGCGACTAAACATTTTTTTCTATGCAATATGAGTAATGTCATCGTAATAGATAATCATAGATATATTTAGTTAGAAAAGAAAACATAACTAATTAGGGTATTATTAAATTATTAATTTACCCCTAATAATACTGGTAGAATAATACTACCAGTAGAGAGTACCAGAACATCGCTCATGCACCTTCTATCTATCTCAGAGTGGTTGATTTGTGCTCTTTTTTAGGGATCGATGGTAATGTGGTTGTCGGAGCGTGGAACTCCTCTAGCGGGTAAGCGTGTACTCCCCCTTTGAAGATTCGGCCAGGGAGCGGTGCGCAAAAATGAGGCGACGCTCGAAGGATAAAAGTGGGAGAGGCAAGCATTTTTAGACCGGTTTGGGCCGCTCGGAAGCGTAATACTTTACTCTTGTGTTCTTTGGTAGATGATGGTGATGATCATGTTCACAGTGCGTGGAGTGGAAAATCTTAGTGTATGCTAGATTGCTGGAAACTCAGGGATCCTTCTTCTCGGTGGCATGGATCCTCTTTGGGATAATTGCATCTATACCCTCACTTTGAACCTCAACTGCTGTTTTACCCCTACTTTTTAAAGTTTGCATTTTTGCCCTATCTTTTTGAACACGAACCCACCGTTTGCCCTCACTTTTAACCCCGTTAGATGGGTCCCACGGTTTTGGGTTAAAAATATACAAAGAGAAATAGAAATTTCTTTTTATGAAATATTTATTTACTGTTTTACCCTTCAGTGAATGGATAAGGATCCAAGCAGGCAAGCACAGCTCTTCTCAGGTCAAGCACCGTGCAGCGACGGCGACCGTTCCGGCAGCGGCGTGCGCGGCTCCGGCGGGAGGCGCGGCGACGGCAACGGCGGCCGCTGCGGCGAGGGCGGGCGGGCGGCGGTGAGGGCGTGCGCGCGGGGGCGGCAGTCGCAGCGAGGGCGTGCGGGCGACGGCGGCGGCGGCGGCCGCGGCGAGGGCGGGCGGCGGCGAGGGCGTGCGGGCGGCGGCAAGGGCATGCTCGCGGGGGCGGCAGTCGCGGCGAGGGAGTGCGGGCGACGGCGGCGGCCGCGGCGAGGGCTGGCGGTGGCGAGGGCGTGCTTGCGGCGGCGGCAGCCGCGGCAACGGCGTGCGGGCGACGGCGGCGGCTGCTGCTGCTGCTCCCGTGGCCGCTGGCTTCCACGCTGAGGCATCGTCGTCCGCCTCCGCCTCCACCTGCCCCCACCATCGCTGCTGCTGCTGCTCCCGTGGCCGGCGACGACCCCATCCTGCTCGACGTCGACGTCGGCGCCGACGCCGCCCTCCTCCCCGTCCCTTGCTCCAGGTCCTCCCCTGCACGATGTTGTTGGATGCAGAGGGTATACATGTCCTTTTGTTGTACAACTAACACCGTGACACCTTCTATTAGAAGTGGGGGTAACTGGCTGGTTCAGATTCAAAGAGTGAGGGTAAAACTGTAAACCCTAAAAAGTGATGATAAAACAGCAAATGGGTTTGAAAGTGGGGGCACCGATGCAATTGCCCCATCCTCTTTTTATACATGAAGGGGAGTCCACAATGCCAATGCATGTATGCAGGAGTGAGACCCACTCTATTGAATTAGGTATGCTTAGTGTTGTCGATGTCCCTACAAACAAGCTAGCCGGACGTGACTGTCTCAGCTGTCGGCTAACTAGTGGAGCAGGAGGTAAGAAAGTGTTTTCCCAACTGTCACAGGGCCACATGTCAGCCTTTCTAAAGTACCGAGGTGGACCTAAACTACGGATGATGAGGGCATGCCATGTTACCTCCCCTCTATTTCTTTGGTTGATGTGGCCATGTAAGGGGCTTCATGAAGCATCATGTTTCTCAGCATGCGGACGAGCTGTACACCGAGTTGCTCTACCCTGCGGTTTAAGCGGTGTGTCGGTTAATGTTAGCCCTATAGGCCCACCAATACCCATAAATAGGACAGAGCCTTCTGAGGAGAGCTCGGGGCAGAGGGCATGCTCGGGCCTGAGCCCGCCCCCCCAAGACGTTTGAGCCTTATTCATAGGCGGTCACTGTGCTCAGTGTTTTTTTAACCGCACGTCCAGGGCAGCCGTGATCGTTACCATTGCTGAATGCATAGTTATTAGGATCGGACCAGACACGGTTTGATTGGTCTGATCGGTTGAACCACCGGTCCAACACGGTTCAAATCAATTGATAAGCATGCATAGCTCAGTGGTGGGGATGATTGAGTCTAAAGGGGAGGTTGAGAGTTCAAATCCCTCAAGCCGCCTATTTTCTTCTCTATCCCCACGTTTCAGCCAGTGTTCGGCCTTTTCACACATGTTCCCACGAGCGCTCGGTTCTTTAGCGGTCTATTTGCCTGATTTTTCACTGGTTCTTTCCAAAAACCGGCGATTCAACCGATTTTTTCCGGGTTGATTGCACTCCAATTTTTAAACTGGATCGGATCGGCTGAGCCCCTGGTTCCCATTTTTTTCGGTCGGACCGCCAATCCGGTCCTAATAACTATGGCTGAATGTAGGTTTTCTTGTTAGTTTGGACGACCTTCTCAAAGATGTTGATGGCGCAGGAGTTCACGATGGATATAGCTAGAAGGAGATGCCGAAGGTCGTGAGCTGCAACTTCAACACCTTGAAGATATTGTAGGTCTCGATCAGACCCCAAGCACAACCAGGCCGAGGAGGAGGGCGCCCGAGGGAAAGGTGGTGGATGCGCCCCGAGAGCAGCCCCCCCCCCCCCTCCCCCAAAAAAAAAGTGTGTAGTCATCAATATATGAGACTAAAGTGATCATAACTCTTCAACTCCTTAGTGAACCCCTAGGTCATCACGGGATATTCTACTTACCACACAACGTCCTAGTAGAAATGAGTTATTATCTTCCTTTTTAAATATATGATGCTATTGACTTTTGAACATGCAACAATTCATTTTATTTTAAAAAACTTATGCAAGTATTATTATCTTGTTGTACTTATATTATCATTGCATATATTTTAAGCATTGTTTATATTTTTTTATATTACTAAATTGTTGAATAAGGTAAATGGTCAAACATCGTCTATCTAAAAGTTAATATATCGTATATTTAAAAACGAAGGAAGTACTGAAATATATTCCTTAATCGTAAGCAAAGCATGAGAGATCAGATCTAGCCTGTGATATGGACATGTATGGTTAGGTCACTATAGTGACCTACACGGCCGTATCACATCAATGTACATACCGGGCAACCCTAGCTAGTTTTGCTGTCGATCGATCGGCCGGAAACCCGACCTCGTGAACACCTTTTGGAAATCAAACCCTCTCTACGACCACCGCAGTAAAAGCTAGCTACAACCATACTCCTTCCGTCTAAAAAAAGAAGACAAACTCTGGTTTCCGTGTCCAACATTTGATCATCCGTCTTATTTAAAAAAATATGAAAAAAAATTAAAAAGATAAGTCACGCGTAATGAAATACTAATTATAAAAAAAATTCATATAAGACGAACAGTTAAACATTGGTATGAAAATTTAGGGTTTGCCTTTTTTTTTTTGGACGGAGGGAGTACACAGTTACACATGCAGACGGACTCAGCTAGCGCAAAATCAATTGGCTCCCTGCTCTTTTCAAATTAAACCAGAGAG